ATGTGGGCAGCCTTTGCCTGATCGGACAGAAGACATCTGTGGTGCTGCCTCCTCACCTCAAAATTCATGGCTTTACCTCTGTCTTTGGAACAGCCAAAAAATGAGTTGGGTGAGACCTGACTGTGTGAGCAAGACTGGACATTTAGTCTAAATGAAAGAAAAGCTTCAAGAAGCAAATCTTAAGAATCCCACAGTCCATGGGTTTTCATAGAAGCAGCAGCAGCATTATTGTTAAGCAGGAGGAACCTAAACATTTGGACCAAAATGATTTCTTAACTGCTTTTCCCTTTCTAAGAATGGATTAGTCTCCATCACACAGAACACACCACTGATGCCCTCTCATCTTCCAAACCAGTCTTCCCTCCATTTCATGGCTTAAAAAATGCATGTATCCCCTTTTACTATCAAGACCCTATGTAGCTCTGTCCCCAATATTCTGATCTTCTTTTTCTATCACTTTATCCTGATAATGCCCTTGGAATTATTTCACTCTCCATTTCCCATTCTCATTCTGCTGCCCTCCCTTTTGCAGCTGTCCATGCATGAAATGACCTCCAGAGAAAGGTTTTTACATTCTCATCCTTTCCTGTCAAAAAGCCCACATCTGTCATGGACCTGACAAGTAGTGCAGTAATATGACAAGAATATTATGCTAGATCTTCAAGATAACCATGAGGGATATGTTGATGTATCTATCTATCTATCTATCTGTGTGTGTGTGTATACATATATACATTAATTTATGCATATCTATGTATATATACATATATGTATACATATGTATACACACACACACACACACATATATATATATATGTATATATATGTGCATTCCTATATATGAATGCATATACAGGAGACCTGTCAAGAGCTTGCAACCAAATAAATGCAGGATATTCTTCTTCCTCATTCTCTTTTCTTTACCTCAGGTTTTGCATTTCTTCTTCATTTTCTCAGTGAATTCTTTTAAATGGGGACTCTATTTCCATCACTGGAGAGTACTTAAAATGGAACTAATAACCGACAAAAAAAAAGAACACAGAGGAGTTTCAAGATTTACAATTTCTGCAATTTGCAGTCCCACAATTTTTAGGCTCATAAGCTTTTGCTATACTCCTCCTTTTCCAAAGTCCCAAGTGTGGTCATGTCCAGGTATGCTGGGGTGGTTCTTTCACATCCTGACCTCTGAGTTCCATCTAGGCACTGTCTAGAGGACTGCCCATAGGCTGACCTAATCTGTTTAGGGAAAACACTGATAAGATGCACAGACATAGGGAGGAACAGTGTTCAAACTCGTGGCCTGGCCCTGTTTAATTTACCTGTGCAAATGTGCTCATATTACATCCATTCACTAGCAAATGCTTTTTCTTGTCCTTGCTTTTGATGGACAAGCTCTCACAGCATTTACCTGTGCAAATAAACGGAGAGCTTCCCATTCCACTCTGTCCAGCAGAGCCTGCAGAAAGTGATGCTTTCAGAAGCAGGCTTGTGTAAACACGAAATTCTGCAGGATATTGCTTATACCTTCTCCAAATGGACTAAGAGGACATTCTCAAGCACATGAGGCCAAGGACCCCAGCACACCCAACAGCAGCATCCTTTGAAGACAAACTCTATCTGATACACACCATCTGTCAACCCGTGACTTGTACGCATACAAACACAAAGAGAAGCAGAGGCATGTGGTCAGAATGGTGCTCATAACAAAAGTAGCTGAAGTGACAATGCGCATTCTTCTGCCCCTTCTTCCCCACACTCTTTCCTAATCCTGGGTGCTCGTCTGCCAGCCTGACTTGGGAAAAAGAGCTGTCAGAGGTGAGGCACTCAGAACTGTCTTACGATTTTGTTTTTGAGTGTGTGCAAACATGGTCACAACAGTACTTTATAATGGACAATCAGATTACAAAGAATTTTTGACACACCAAACTATACACTGTTAGAACAAGCTTCAGGACCCTGGGTGTGCATTGGGATAGGAAAATGATTAGCTGAGAAGTGACCTCTGATGAAGTGTATCAAGACCATAGATCTAAACCTCCCTGAATCTTTGCCTGTGAACTGTTTACGTGGGCTGGTTCTGGTGCCTCTTTTCTCCTGACTCTGTAACTGACAAAATCACTGATCTTCAAAGCAGAAGAAACTGCTATGACTGACAAGTTTGACCTCTTCTACTCTGCCCACCACAGTTTCACCATATAAAACATGCCCAGGAGGTAATTCTGTAATTGCTATTTGTGGTTATCCATGCAAGGCAGATCTGGTGTGTCATTTCTTGCACAAAGTTTCATCTGGGATGGGAAGAATTTGGCACTTCATGGCTCAGCAATTTTGAGGTTAAATACCCTCCCTGAGTGTTTAGTAAATACAAGTACACATGCATTTATCTTTGATTTCCCAAAGGCTGCCTGTAAAATTTTCCGCTGGGAAGGGAAGACTGAGATACCAAGTGCCTTACACATCCTTAGCAGGGATCAGCTGGAGCTCACCACAGTCTTGCACTCTCACATCTCCCTCTGTTACAGGGGGGAAAAAAAAATAGTGGAGAAAGCAGGGTTATTGGATTCTGGGGCAGAAATGAGGGCGCTTGATTTTGAGACCCTCTACAAGACTTTTTTATCATGACAAACCTGAAGCAACTTGGGCTTAATGAAATACGTTGCAGTGTAATCAAGGAGGCTGAAATAGTGGGGATTTTGGAAGATGAACAGCTTATGTACCTTGATGAAATAAAGCTTCCCCATGCCTTGTGGTTCCTCAGAAGAGAAGCCCAGGAGTCTGAGCTCAAAGCTTGCCCTATGACTGGGGAGCAGAAAGTAGGACCAAGTCACACGCTGCCTCTGCTCTGCAGTTTGGATGCAGCCCTTCCTATAATTTCCAGTTCATTCATTTATTACTTACCATGATTGATTTCTGTGGTCATTTTTTCAGTGATGCATCAATAACTGAATATAATCCAGTTATTTGTCTGCTCTATAGACTAATACATAAAAAAAGTCTTTACCTTTATGAGAGCTTAACAGGCATAGAGCATTGTTTATTAAAGTGGGAAGAAAAGTAATGTCATATTGGACTTGAAATGTGTTGAGGAAAAAAGACTGAGGTCTCCATTTATGAAAACTGAAGTCCTAAGACTGGTATTACTCATTTCATCTGAATAACTAAGCAGTAATGACCACGGCACAGGCTATTGCAGGCAATTAATGATCAGTTCTCAGGGTTGATGGCCTGTGAGAAAGTTAAGGGACATTAAACTCTGCTAGCTATTAGTCATTCAGATATTGCCAACTGCTGACTCTATTGCAGATTCCTTCCATTTTTAAAATATAGACCTTAAAATTTCTACTAAAACAACCAAACTGTAATGATTGTGAGACAGACATCTGCAAAAATGGCAAAAAATGAGGCCAGTGCTGTGATTGCCCAAAGATCTCTTGAGGATGTCTTGGCTTCTTGAGTCTGGATGGCCAATTAAAGAGAGTGACAAGGCACCTCCACATTCTTCCAGTTCTCCTGGATTCAAGGTCACCCCTTATCTGGGAACTGAATATTCATGTCCACCAGCATGACGTGTCCTAAGAGGAAACAAGGAGAAGGATATTGTGTGTTTTCCTTTACTTGTGCACAAGTTTCAGCCCTCTGGGAAGGTAAAAAAGAAATATTAGAAGAATGGAAGGAACTTGGAAGGTTTTTATATACATGTGCATATATATATATATATATATATACACATATACAAAAATGAAAGAATGGATCTGATACCAAAAAACAAAATGTTTCAATATTTTCTTGGTAAAGAGGACTTAAAAGGTATATTTGTTTTAGCCTATTTTTAAATAAAAAATAATTAACAGAAAACACCTGATCAACCTGTCATCCAATATTTTGCAGCCTGCTTCATGATGCAGTTAAATAGTTTTACCCCCAGTACCATATCAAACTACAAGCCCAGATGTTAGACACAACTTTATAGCACAAACAAGCATAAAAGGCCACAAATCCCCCAGATCTTCAACAATGAGTCTGAAACAGGTAAAGGGTAAAGAGTGAGAAGAGGGAACCATAATAATTATTTGTGTTATTTCAATGGCAAAAATTACTTCTTTTACTTTTTGTTCTTGTTTGTCCTGTGGTAAGGAGGGATATCAGTGTTGTTTTATAATGCAGTTATATCAGATAGGATCCACTAAGTCACATTTATTGCTGACGTAATTTTGCTTCAGACAAAACCAGGCTAATTCACATGAGATTGCTTTATTGCTGATTTCACTAGAACTCTTAAAAAAACCACTCTAAAGAGAATCAGGAAAGTGAAGATTGTAGGGAAAGGCACCTAAACAGCATTTACCACTTCTATGGAAGATGAAATTCTTATATGCTGAAGAATTTGTTAATTTTTTTTATATATTACTCAGGCCTCAGGCCCAGAATATAATTGCTTTTTCCTTGTAAAGAAGAGAAAAATGGATGCTATCAGACCTAGCATATTGTCAGAACAGTGATGACAAATTGAAAATGCACCTTTTGCTGTAGCCTCTGTTTTAAAGCTGCATCCAAATTTCTCTCCATTTACAGCTGCCTATTCAGCTATAAATGGGAAGGGAAGGGAAGGGAAGGGAAGGGAAGGGAAATCATGTCTAAAATATGAGATTTCGGTATATTAGGGACTAAAGGAATTGGCTGTGAAGCTTCAAAAGAAAACAGCTGGAGGGAGGAGGACATGGAAGGTCTGACCTTCCCAACGCTATGAAGCTGGCTGCCCTCTGTCCCTTTCTGGTTTAATTAAGACTGGCCAGATATGCTTGCCTCAGCCAAAATCTTCTCTCTTGGTCCTTCCTGCTGTGATGAATGCAATGAAAACACTCAAACTACTTTTCATCCTTGTTTAAAACAAAAACAAACAAACAAACAAAAAAAAAAAGCAAAAAAATCAGCTTAGTTTTAATGGGTAATAATTTTGCAGATGGTTGAGTTTCCCTAGCAATCAGATTTATTTTCCTAGAGGTTTTGTACTACTTGTATTTTCATAGTCTCTAGTTTGATAGCCTGAGTGTTCAGAGTAGCTTCTCCTGATCATGCTAGACACATTGGTTACTTTCAGGTCTACAAACCATTTCCTGAGAAGAAATAACCCAATCCTTCATCCTTTATTTTCTTATTCTTCTTTTTATGGTGAGGTTAAAGCACTCAAAGCATTAGTGTCTTTTCCGTATTTTTTACTACAAGGAATAAATTAACTTCATATTAATTTTTAAAAATTTGCAGTAGATGTCGTGTACACAAGAGGGCAGATCTGCTTCTCCTTTCACCATCAGCAGTCCCCTGTTGTACTTTGTTCGTCAGTAACTGCTGCTTTCAGCTGGGTATCTGGGGCTGGATGTCACGGGAGCAGCATGGCTGTAAGGCAGGCTCTCAGTCCAAATAGACAACACCACCCGGGGAGGATCTAAAGGACTTTTGTACTTCTAGAGCAATGCCTGCGGGAGTAACAAACACACAGTTATAAATGTTACTTTATAAGATTGCCACCGTGGTCACTGAGCCTAACTTTTTGGCTTGTAATTGACTTTCAAGTCTAAAAGAGTGGAGTTCACACCTGGCTTTCTTACCCTGTCCAGCACACCCTTTACTCCATTTTCCCCTGTACAATGCTGGAAGCTCAGGTACCAGTTTCCACCCCTCTCTGCTGACTGACTATGATGATTTCATTTAAAAGTCTTTTGTCAGGGAGGAAATTTCCCTGACCTGAAGGCAGGCTGGGGACTGAGGGGCTCCATCATGTTACATGGCATGGAGCAGAGCCCCCAGCATGGGTGGCTTGTTGTCCCCACTGCTCTGCTACCGTGGAGTATCACTTGATGCTGGTAAGCCTGATTTTGGTTTAATCCTCTGAATTTAGCCTCCCTGAGAGGAAAGGACAGTGTGTCTGAAGCCAGAGTGTTTGCTATTCCCTTCCCAACTTACTCTGGGCACTGAAATGGGGAGCAGCTACCCCAAGAGAACCAGGGTGTAGGTCTCATACACAGAGAAGTTTTCAAATTCCACAGAGGACAAGGGACTTCCCTAAATTCCCAGAATTAATCCATAGCCAGCACTCTGCTTCTCAGGAGAGCTGGCTGTTGCCTGTTAATCCCCTGGTGACAGACTGCACCCTTTTCCTTTGGCTCATAAATCATTGCTGGCTTCTCTGGTCACACAGCCAGAGGAGTCCAGGCAATTTCTGCAAAACTCTCCTAAGGGATGTAAGCAACTGTGTCAAGGTGAAGGAATTATGCTCTTCTCATACAAAGTTTTGATTTAACTTAATGAAACAAAAAAACCCATGGTTTTATACAATGAGATGAAGACACACAGTGTGTGCATCAAGTTGTCCAAACCCAAAAGGAACTTAGACATTCTGAAGAACACCAAAAGACTTCTTTTTCAAAAGAGAAAAGACACTTTCTTTCAAACATTTTTCTTTCAGCATCTAGAGTCTTTTGGGGAAGACAGAAAAGAATACAGTGTTTACCTTCCAAATGCCCTTGGAGAAAAGTGGAAGCAAGCAAATGAACTAGCAAACCCAGGCTTTTTTAAAGAGCAAAGGTCAGGAAAGCTCATCTTTAAACAGGCAGATTAGGAGGGAAAAAAAGAGAACTGGCCACAGTTTATCTGGAAGCCTTCCTCTTGTGCTTTATGATATCTCCTGACCCTGTCACATCCCTTGTATTTTATGTATGGGGCAGAATATTGTTGTCACCAGTGCCACTTGGTAACCATCCAGTTAAAGGCCACCTGTTGGAGAACATCTCGGAGCTGAATGTCAGCTCTGAAAAAAACAGGGATATAGGTAAAGCCACTCATGCCAGACATAATTGGAGACTTACTGGGACATTGCTGGAAGAGGCTCTGGAACTTTCCGAGATGTTGGGCTGCTGATGTTAAAATATAGTTGCTTTTCCATTTTAACAATCTACAAATTTGTGTTTGTGGAAAGGCTGTTGCAGAAAATCTCACGTCAATCACAATTAGAGAAGTGCTAATCACGTTCAGTTGTTAATCATACATTAAATTAAATGAGTTACACATGCTCTTGTACAATGTGCTCACCAAATGGCAGGCCCATCTCAGGCCCTCTTGCATGCTCTCTTTGGTATGCATGTTTATTCTACAAGTATATAATAATTTATGCTTTTATTAGATTATTGTAGTGCATAAAATAAGTACCATTCTTATCATCTATTCGTCATCTTTTTCCTTTGAAGAGACCTCTGCACAATCAAGACATTAATGGGGGTATTTTACCAATATATTCCATAGTGCTGTTGCAAAATTATTCTAAGGACTCTCAACCATTCAGTGGGGAAGAGAAAAGGGGGACTGTGAGAATGTGACCCCTAAAGAAGCCAGCAACAGGAGACAATTTGTGTTAAACTGGGGTTTGCCAGTACCTAGAGGGGTCAGTACAGGGAATATCCATCAACAGATAAAGATGTCACATATCGAGAGGTTTTTTTAGACTCAGCTAAAAAATATCTCTTTTGCAATTGAGAGAGCTTTGGTTGAAGTGTAACTTGTTAATAGTGAAGTTGGGAACATATGCATGTGAGAGCATATATACCTGTGCATATATAGAGAAGTGATCATAGGGAATGTAAAGAGATTAATATATATACAGTGTAGACCCACAAAGGAAAATACAAGTACACTGGAAGCATACCTAGGCCTGTTTCCTGTCCTTATTAGCTCTCCTCAGCATCTGCTTTTGTGTGCAGTTGCCTCTCTGATCAGTGGCATAGCTTATCTTCTAACCTGACTCACAGAATGTTAGAGGAACTTAAATTCTACCAGGAGCAAAATATTTCCAGTGCTATTAGCCAATTGCTACAGGGAGATGGCAAACTATTCAAGATGATAATTTATTGGGAGTTTCTATTACTGCTAGCAAAAAAGCAAGATGCCCTATTCTGACACTAATTTTATAGAGGTCTTGAAGCCCCATGCAAATCCCAGAAGTGTGGGAACATGCTAATTCTGTGCCAGCAGCAGACTTACTCTGGCTATTGAGCCTGATATTAGTCTTTAGCAAATTCAAAATAATAAAAGGCTTTGAAAATTAAAGAAGAAACAAAGGCAGAGAATTAAATTAATACTGATCAACATGGCCTAATGGAAAATTGATCTGTTTATAAAGAAAGACTGATTTCCTTTTTTTAAGAAATTACAAATTTATGGCATAAAAGAGCTTGACAGAATAATAAGTATACTTAGATTCTCCTTAAAAATATCCTACCTGACACATGGCCTAGTGCTATCAGTATAATACAATAAATGCCCTAAACTGTGTGTATGACAGACACCAAAAATTGTTATTCCATGGGTACTCATAAATGGGTCATTTCTAGTCATTTTCCATGAGCATTTGTAATAGAATCTAAATCTGTTCATCATTTCAAGCTGAGAAGCATACATAAGAGTATTTCTAGAAATAGGTGTAGACTGTGAAGCAGGATACAATGGTGAGGAAAGCACTGTGATACTGAGTGACCTTGTTCACTCAAGGAAGCTGGGGTTCAACATCTACCTCCAGCCTAGGACACCTCTGGGTGTTCCCTCCCTCAGGTGAGGTGTCACAGCCAAAACATGCTTTGATGCCGGGGCCAAGTGGGGATCAGACCTGGAAGAACCAAAGCTGGAAAAGAGCCAGACCATCCTCTCAGACTGGAGAACTTTATTTTCAGAAATATCAGCTCCTAGCAGCAGTTTGAGAGGTGATGGCATAGAAGAACCAGCACAGTCACCCAGGGCATCTGGGATCCAGAGTATAAAATCAGAGGAGCAGTGAGATAAATTTAGCTCTGTTGTCAACACAGATACCAGCACATAATTCTGGTGTGCCCATTTTTAAAGGGACTTGAAAGGCTACTGAGACTACAGCAAAGAGCCACCAAAATGGATTAAAGGCTGGAAAAACTGCCATGTGCTCTGATACAGGAAAAATCTGTTAATTCTTCAAAAACATATTGGAGGGGTATTGAGTGTCTGTGTGTAATTTCCTGAGACAGGCAGTGGGGAATGCTTTAATACCTGGAAGTTAAATCCAAGTGGAATCAAACCAGAAACAAGAATAGACGTTTTTGGCTGTGAGGTTGTTAATTGTTGGAATAAGCTACAAAAGTAAATGCTGCATTTGCCATCATTAGTTGTCTCTGAGTAAGGGCAAGTATTTTGGTGGGAACCCTTTCCTTTCTCCTTTCTCCTTTCTCCTTTCTCCTTTCTCCTTTCTCCTTTCTCCTTTCTCCTTTCTCCTTTCTCCTTTCTCCTTTCTCCTTTCTCCTTTCTCCTTCCTCCTTCCTCCTTCCTCCTTCCTCCTTTCCCCTTTCCCCTTTCCCCTTTCCCCTTTCTCCTTTCTCCGTCTCCTTCTTTTCCCCAGAAAGATCCTGCAGTGTGTCCTGTGTGAGGCAGATTAAGAAGTCACCTCCTCACACCAGGATGGAAGTGGAGATCTGGTCCTACAAAGACCAAGCAGCTCATGGCCATGTAGTCACTGGCACCGTAGTGTCTCCTGCTGAGCTTCTGGGACTGACTGCTAATTTTAAAAATGGACTGGATTTCTTCCTGCATGGTGACTGTTAGAGCAGCTGGAATAAGGTTGCTTACACAAGTGTGTTAGTCCTGGGCACGGATGTAAGAGACAGGTGTTGGCTGGAAGAGCACCAGGAATATGTTTAGATATCCCAGATAGCAGTTTCCAGTGCGTAACAGAGGCACATCCCCATCCAGCCTTGCACTTTCACCTGTTTACTTTAGTGCTGCTGGAAGCTAAACACCTCCTGCTGTTCTTTAGTTGCCAAGTAACAGGCCCATCTATTATCACAGTCCAACCTTGTACTAGACCAGGACATCTCCTTGGCTGGTTTTCTCTCTCCTCTATCAAATGTTAAGTTTCAAGTGACTTAGTAGACACTTTCAGGAAAAGGCAGACTTGCTTAAATACACTAATTTCTCTGAGTATTTTTACCTCTAAGTTGCAAATGTCACTCAACCCAAAGTGATTATTTTGTGTTTGCACAGTAGATTTCATGCACACTAGGGTGCATTTCAGACCTGTTGTGTTTAACTGCTAATAGGATTTGCAGCTATGTTTGTGAATTCCAGCTACCCCATTTATTTCACTGAGCTTCGAGTTTATACACTGTGAAGGACTAGAATAAAATATTAACACCATACAGCTAAACAGAGAAAGTTTGTACATTGTCCTGGACTACATTTTTTTCCATTTTCCATTGGAAAAATGACAAAGGCACTAGACTAAAAAAAACAAACTGTAGCAATATATGGGCTTTTAAAAATATCTTCTTTACTTCCAAAATACCCCAGTTCTCATATAATTTATATGGAGCATGCAATAGATTTAGAGAAGACCTTAAAATGACCCATTAATCCAAACTCAATTGGAAACTGGAATAGCTGCAACTAATCTGTTGTCACAACAGCAGTACACAGAAGTCACATGAACAGACTGAGAAGATAATGCTGCTAGAATGTACGCATTTTCCCAGAGGATCTTCACCCACAGAAGAAATATAACAAAGATAAAAATTACACTTGAAGTATTTTCTGTACCTACTTTATGTGAACCAAATAGTTGTTTATTTTTTTTGCATTTAAACCATCATTTCATTCTGTATTTCTCCCCTGGTTTTTTTATTCCCTTAAGTGTATTTATATTTTTGGCACATCCCTTCATTCCCACATATCAGCACATCGCCTACACATTAGGATTTGCAGCACAGGGTTTTTTTAAACCAGGAAAAATCTGAACCCTAATTGGATCAGTTCTAAAGCAGAAAACAGGGATAAAGCTCTTATTAGCTTGAAGTCTGTAGGCTTCAAGCTAATGAAGCTTTATTGAAATGAAGAATATTTCTTTCTGTACTACACCAAGTTTTTTTAATCTCCTGAATATTTGTTCATACCAGACATTGGCTCCAGAAGTATCTTCAGGCTGGAGTCCACTGGAACTTCTCCTTCTGCTGCTGCCAGGCTTGGTACAAAAACTAGAGGAGAAAATTTGGGAAGCTGTTCCTCAAGCTGTCCAGAACATACACAGAGCCATGTCTTATCTCTGTCCTTTCCTGGAGGACCTGCACAGACTGCATGCCATATTTGTGGGTACACATGCAGTGGTGGCAAGAAGCATGATCTGTGCAGATCATGCCAAGAGAAGCACCTCTCTGTGCAGATGCTCTCCAGCTGACCATTGGGCGGTGTTTGGGCCAAGACAGTCTGACTGACAGACATGAAATGATGGCAACCCACAAATTATCTTTGGATGTTGTCTGACCTTCCTACTGAGTCAGGGGTTTCTCTGCTGCCTGAAAAAGCCCATCATGAAAAGTGTAAGGGAGCACACGAACCATCATTGTGATGGGCATGCAAAGTTTGCAGCCATTACCAGGATTTTTAATTGTAATTTTCAATGTGAGCAGATTCACTTCCCACTTGTATTTACTTGGATACGAAAGGCTAGTCTTGTCTGGTCTGGTCACATGGATGCTTCTGTATTTGTTTGCTGTTTTTTCTTGTTATTCATGATTTATTTAGAGCCAACCCCGTTCAAAGTCATAACAAAGACAGTATGTTCAGTCACTCAAATTATGGGCCATTCTCCAGGGCAATAACCCAAGACTACAAAAATTCATACAATGCCTTCAAAAAGAGAAGAAAAACCAGCAGCCTTATTCTCTGGCAAGCAAGATCTATGATTTTGTTGAGACTTGCTTAAAAGAAACATTATCACATTTTGTTTTGTCTTCTCACTGAGGAATCTGTGCACAAGCATAAATAATTCAAGCATTCAGTATTTAGGATATGACAGAGTAAAAATGTCCATCACTGTACTCTCCATTTTCCCTTGTTCCTCCAAACAATCCTCCTGTGCTGGGCTGCCTAATGATCCACAAAATGTTGTCCTACTGATTTCATGAAGTGACTTTCTATCCCATGAAAAGATGGTTCATGTCAGAGTTATGAACCGCAGAAGGGCAGGCAAGGAAAACGGTTCAGGAAGCTCTCTCTGTTGCGACGAGAGACAGCTGGATGCTCACAACTCCTGAAAGCAATGAACTTCAAAAAAGAGGCCACGGGACAGTGACCACACTAAAAAAATAAAGATGTTTTTCCTGGAGACGTGCTTGCTGACTTGGAATTGGCCTCTCTGCAGGCCCAGGGGGACGATGTGAGCATAGTTTACTGTCCAGCAGGAGCTTGAATATGGCCTTCTGGTTGTTGAAATGAGCTGTACAATGAGGGAAGGTAGGGGAAATGTGCCTTTCAGAATGCTATAAATATCTAATCCCAGTCAGGTTTCTTCCAACAGATTATTCCCCCCCCCCTCCCCTCCCCATCATCTGTAGTCAGAAATACACAAATTTGCAACTCACAGGGATATTTCCTGCTAAATTGTCATTCTTGCTGCTACTCCTACAGTGCAACATTTCTAAACTTAACTAACTGCAGCATCTTACTTTTTAAAAAATTATTGTTTTAGACATATTATACCTTTTTTTTTAAAGATCAATGTGATAGTCTTTTGTAGTCATTTGTGAATATTGGGAGGATTCTGTGGGGGAGGATTGCTGTTCTTGCACTCACATCTATATATCTCTTTTCAGATACTTTAGGAGGCAGATTATGTCATTGTAGTTTCCTTCCCCCGAAAAGAAAGCTGTTTTATAAATAATGGCATGGATGGACAGATCCTGATTATAAGTAGTTGTAGAAAATTTTTCTCTAAAGCAGTTGTACTTTTACATCAGTAATATATAAGCCTTTTTCCCTGGATACATTTCGCAGGAGGATATTCTGATGTAGTGGTGTGTGTGGATCAAACACATTTTATTTCACAATAGGCAGCCATGGTATGGCAGAAACTTTTATGACCTCCACTTAGCTTATAATCTTCAATCAGATACCATTCCTTAAATGAAATTACTGACTAAAATTCTGTCCTATAGACGACCTGGAAACCTTAAATATGTTGATGACTTATTGCTTTAGTTCTGGATTTCATGTTGACCTTTGAGTGTATTCCCTCTAATTTGTTAATGAAAGCATTAAAATGGGTATCAGGAATAGATAAGCAGAATGCCCTAATAATATTTTTAATTCCTCATCAAAAGACTTGGACGTTCTCATATAATTAGGTGAGGTGGTGCAGATGACTGGCTGTTATGTAAACTTCAAGGAAGAAATAAGAAGGAAAAGATAAATTAGTAGAACTAGAACAACTAAAAAGGAACTCAGTTACCATGCTTTTTAACCTGAAATAAAACCTGTTAAAAGCAGAAAATTAATCATATGATACAGTGGTACAATGAAATCATCACAGAATCTTTTTCCTGATATATCATTTAAGTTACTTCTGTAGATGAAGGCAAAAAATTTCCATCTCTTCCCTTATGAATTTAAAAAGAAAAGGCCAATTGCCATTTCCTCCTTCTGTCCCATGACACAACAAAGTGCTGCATAACAATAGAAGTTTAACCATCTATTGCAGTCCATGTGACCTTTTAACTTTTTTATTATAAAAATCTGTCAAAGACAGAGGTAACCTTTATGCTATTATCTAAAAGAGCAATGTGTAAGGGTCAAGCTGTTCTTTTTCTAAAGTCAAACAGGCTGGGAATGGCACTGGTGGAAGAGAACTGCCTTCTCCCTGGCCATGGAAGAGACTTGAGGTCTGTTGATGTCTGAAGAGTTTTTGACCAACACTGCCCATGCTTCTGCCTAAACCATCTATATCTGCACTGGGAACTGCTGAATCTTCTTTACTCAAGGACCACAAACAACCATATCAGATTAAACATTACTCTTTTTCATCTCTCTCTCTCTCTCTCTCAACTATTGAATGAGATTTCTGTCCCTGCTTGGACTTGCCTTAAGCTTTACCAGAGACAGAGAAATCTCCCATTTAATTTTCTCTCCTGACTGAAGACTTCCCTCCTTTTTCTCTGCACCTCTCTCCTGCACACTGTCAGAGAGATGACAGCTTTTCCTCTGGTGTGGCTGGGACTCTTTGGGCTACCCAGCAGGGATACACGCCCCGACAATATTACAGGTCAGCCACAGCACAGGTATGAATGTAGCAGAGGTACATCTGATCTACCCACCCTCCTCTTTTTCCTCTGGAGACATCAGCATGCTGTCTTTTCCTGCAGCATCTGAGTGACAAGACTAACAAGGCTGTGGACAAAAAACAGAGAACCACTGAGCAGATGGGGGCTGAGAAAATCCAAGGATGAGGTGGAAAAGTGGGCAAGAAAAATACAGAGCTGAGAAACCAGCAGAAAAGTGGAAATAAAATCCCATATCTTTACTTAGGTTTGTGCAAATATTCTACTTTTATATCTATGAAAGTGAGTCATGACTCCCTCAGAACTGAACCTGAGTATGATGAAGCAGAATCTGGCAGACAGCCTTCCCATGCTGTTCCTGGTCTTGCTCAGCACTATTTCCCTCCTCCCACACTAGAGTTCCTTTAACACATGAGAGATGACTCTGGGGAAAGTTTTAAAATACCATCATAGAGGCAAAAATAGGAACTTGGCTTTCAAGTGCTTTTTCTCTTTAAATTGATAGAGAGGAGCCTGATAGAAAAGGTTTTTTAGCTGCTGGGCACCACAAAACTCTGAAAGAGGGAGAGCATCTTTTTGGGCACGTTGTTGTAGATATCCTTCTGTCCAGTCACACTGTGTGTGTGTATATCACCCAACAACAATTGAAGACCCTGATAATTTTCATATACATTGTTAGAAGGGTGGTGCCATCAAAAAAAAACTTTTTTTTTTTTTTTTTCCCTTCAGGAGTCATGAAAATAAGAATTTAACTAGAGCAACAATACCCTAAAAGGATGTAGGGTTGAGGTTATCCCCTCATTAGACATCAGAGAAATTTTGGGTTGACCTTAGGTATTGTTTGATCATGCTGAATCTAACACAAATTCAACAACTATTTTTCAACTTTTTATTTGCCTAATACAGTAGGACTCTGCTCTTGTTTTTAATTGCTAAAAAGTCTGGTGTACATGCACCTGAACTGGCAATTTTTCAAATTCATCATCTTATAGACAGAAATCTCAACATATCACTATTTTAGTTTGTCTGTATTTTAAATTCTTATTGTGGTCTGAAAGGTACTAAGAGTTTTATCAAATAAATTTAAGGAGTTGCTGTTTGTCAGCTAGAAATCTGCTACCTCAGCTTCAAGAAAGAAATGTTTTGGTTTCTCTGAAGTTCTGGTCTCTGTCAGGGCTCTCAGACACTACGGTGATACAGAAACATAATGAATGCATCGAGTGCCAAATGGCACAGGTGCGAAAATAGTTTGTACCAGCTGAGAGAAAACAAATGCTTCCTCCTCACTTTGCAAGGAAAATCTTATGGTGTGAATTAGAAAGTAAAAAAACAAAAAACCCATAAACATCTATGTTTTGTTTTTTTATTTTAAGTCTCTCTGTCAAGAACCAAGGTATTTTAGAAATGTCTCTGTTGAGATCTGTTTATTAGCTCTCTCACATCCACATCCTTTCCTCACACAGCAGGCTTGCTGGGCAAGTGGTGCCTGTGACCTTGCAACTCTGCTGCTACACAGTCATGCTCCCTAGGGAAGCAGTGGAACACGGTAGGAATCAAGCTGATTCAGGGGAACCACTGAATCACGGCTTTCATAAGGTCCTAGGGTCAAGGTTTCAATTAATTAAATTTATTTTCTCAATAAATTAAATATTCATCTTGGAAAGCAAACACTTATTTGGGAAAATAAATGTTACATTGGTTTTCATCAAAAACAGTTTTGAAGGAAGGCTTTTGACTAATTGTTGTGGTTTAGGAATGGTATTCCCCAGTTTAGTGTTCCCACTGAGACTCTCCAAACCACACTGATACTTGCTTGGTGCTCTCCTCCTTGTCCCTCTCTTTCTTCCCCTGCGATGGGCTGAGGAGGAAAATTTGAAGCACAAAAAATAAAGATCATGGGTTAAGATAAGAACAATTTACTGGAAACAGCCATGAGATACAAAAACAAACAGTAAGAGCAGCAATGCTGATGACAGAGGGGACAAGAAAACAGACATTATTGCTCACCACAGAAACCCCTGACAGTAGACAGCACCCATCTGCCCCCTCCTCCACACCACTCCCACTGCCCTTCTGGCTCAGAGTCAGTGTTACCCCACTGCTCCTTCCACCATGCTGGCTTGACCAGAAGGAAGAGAAAGTCTCTTCTCCCCACACCTGGCAATGATGAGGTGGAATAGAACAACATCCAGCTACTGGCCATGGCCCATCACAGCTACTGCAAAAATTAAACCTGTCCTGATGGAACCAGGACACTACTACTAAAAAGCAGAGTATTGGTCCTGCAGTTTGTGGTGTTTTTCAGTATCTGATTAGAGGAAACAAGAGTCTACACAGCCACAAGATCTAAAATTGAGACAATTACTGTATGTTTCTCCCAGGTCTTAGTTGTAGTAGAGGATTATTGTATGATACTTTAATCAGAAGTACCAATGTGTTTAAGAGAAAAGGTCACAACATGTTGCACGTGATGACCATTTATCATTTTGTTCCATGATTTGATCTTTTACATCAAGCTTCACCATTCTGAAAATGGGAAATGAAAATTCTTACACAGGGCTGAGTAAAAATCACAGATTTTGTTTTTTAAAAAGACACCTTCAAGACTTGTGCTAGATAAAGCAAACCTGTAAGGGTAACATCTATTCTTTCCCATCCCACACTTATGCAGCCTCTCCTTAACACCACAAGCTGAGTATCAGGAGGCCATCAACACAAGCCAGAGGCACTGCTTTTAATCTCATGTTTGTTGAAATCTGCCTCATTGTTTGTCTTTTTCTTAACACTTGGCACTGGCAGTGATTAACACTGCCAACATTTTCCCTGCCAGAAAAGAAGGGGTTTTTTTCTGTGTTTTTTCCAGTGAAGTCTGGAGACACCTCCCACTCTGAGGCTGTCTTTCCTCCCTTGTCTATGGAGAGAACAGCTAAGGACGACAACAAAAATCTTGTGCCTCTTTTAAGAGAGGTGTTTCCAAGAGGAAAGAAAGGAAAAATGGCAGTTAATAAATGTCTTGTGGGTCTAGGACAGTGGGAAAAGAGTCTCTTCTTTTTCTTTTTCACTGCTGAAACATTATTCAGAAGCTGCTGATAGCATCTCTCTGCCCTTCTTCAGACACAGCACTGCACCACCATGGATTGCCCCAAGAAATGCTGCTTGGCAGAAAGCTGTGGTCAGTTTGACCTACAGTCTGCTCTAGGTTGATCCAGAAAGTGAGAGCTACCAGGATGAGTCCAGTTGTTTTTTTAAAAAGTTTTCTTAAAAGTTTCCTTAAAAGTCTGTACCTGTGGGCTAAGACACCTCACTTACACTTATGCAGGGACCTGGGTTAAGCTTAGCTTTGCATGGGGAACAAATCTACCTGCTTCTTCTCAATTTTTGCTCTCATGAGTTGGGGTGACCAGGAGATGCATTTTTAGCTGGTCATTTGCAGCTGGATGTTTGCCAGCTCCTTTTCATCTCCTGAACACCACAGAAGCAACAGATCAGATTTGAAAATCTGGCCTGTTATTCTTTGGTTATTATACCAGGGATAGAAGAGCACCCTCTTCACTTGTCAGCAACTAATAGGTCACAAGTTGGCTGGTTTTCCAAACATAAAAGCAATTTGCCGACAGCAGGGACCTACACCCTAAAAGGAGAGAACACACACTTGGCTGGCAGCCACCTCACCACCCCAACAAAGGAGAGATACTGGGTATTGGTAGCTGCTTTTAAGTTGTCCCAAGTGCAAACTTGTTTCTGATTTTTAGGCTGTCTGATAAGACTTTCTTGTTTATTGCTAACAACTGCTTAGTGAGCCAATACTTTTTAAGAGCAGCTATCATTCACTCACACTGCCTGTCTGAAAAAGAGACATGAGGTTTTGGTAGCTCACTCCTTACCCCACTGCATCAGTGGGATCCTGCCACCAAAGACAAAGGGTGAAAGATGAAAGCTGAGTCATTCTGTTGCCAATTGTCAGGCTTCAACAGTCTTAAATATGCTGGAAGGGCCTAGATTTATTCAATTTCAAATGATTGTAGTACCAGATGCATCTTATGTGAATACAGAGACAAAAATTCCTGTGTAACCCTAATGGTGTATTCCATTAGTATATTCTAATTGCATATTCTTCCTTCCCTTGTATTCAGCAGCTACGAAACTTGGAAAGAAATGCCAGTAGTAGATGAAGAATGTGTGAAAGCTATGAAGAGGTGTGGAGGAGGGGAGAGAAGGCTTAGGATGGACCAAAGGTCATTGCAATCCTTTTCTTGCTCAGAGTCAACCCTTCCTACTCTCCAGTCTCACATCTCTTCAGCCATTCCCTTGATTTCCCCTGCCACCTTTCAAGAATCTTCCACTACTAGGACAATGCTTAAGCTGAGAAGGTAACTTGTAAGGCACTGAAATGTGGCCCTCAGCTGTGATTCACACTGGGAGCAGTCCTTGGACCTCGCATTCTACAGAGCTCTTTGGCAGAGGAACAGGGGTGGGGCTTGGTTGCCTGAAGTTCATGGAGTTGTAGCAGGCACACATTTTATCCTTATTAAGACAAAGGGCTGAGCGTGCTTATTGGTGTTATTGCACTTGTGTGAAGATTCATCAGCCCTGGTATAAGAACCTGAAGGTTAGGGAATTCATTCCACTGCCCATACCTTGGCTCATGCCCTGTGTGGTGCCCTGGGGTCCTTCATGGAGCCACAACAGCACAGGCCACCTCCAGCTCCTGTGTCTTCCCTCCTGCCCCATGCAGGTGTCTCAGAGATCCCAGGTAATATCCAGTAGCTTGGAACAGCGCCCTGTGAACAACTGCCTGGAGCCCTCAAGGGCTAAGAATAATATAATTTCTTTTCCTAGGAATGAATAGGCTGCTCCAGATAACAATTAAGCACCAAAGAGAGGTCAGATTAATTACTCTCTGGAGGTTCATGTTCTATTTCTTTGGTCATGCTCGCAGACTTTAGACTTACAACTTTCTTGTATCTTATATGAAGTGAGACAAACCCAAATTACACTGCAGCAGTTGCAGTCATTTTTCAGTACTTTCTTTTAGGATCAGGTCACAGAGCAAAGCTATTTACAAACCTCCATTTATCCTCTTTTTCCATTCACACATTGCCTTTCTATTTTTGTGCTTATCTCTCACGTTACCTTTTCACCGACTGCCAAAATGACAGCTACTGCTGTGCCGTGGCTCCTTCCCGGCACCCCACGTTTAGCCCCCAGGTGTGTTTTCCAGGAGGTGAAGAGAGAGCAGGCGTTGGTGTGCAGGCAAGCATATGCTTTACAACAAGGCTGAGATGCTGAGAAGCACTAGCTGCAATGTTGATCATATCAAGGCGCGTTACCAGGAGACACCTCACAGCGCGGCAAACGTGCGTCGTTGGAGGCTTCTTGCCCTCTGGAAGGTTGTGGGTGTAACATTTTTCTTCTCTCTCTCACTCAGACATGAAGGATGAGCAGCTTAACAAGGTCACATTTATTAGAGGCATGCATATTTCCATCTGCCCAGGCGGATAGCCTGGCACAAAGCAAGGAGGCACTCTAAAAAGGAATTGTTTCAGAGGGCAGTGTCTAGGGAAAGCTAGGAGAACAGTGGTGGTTAGATACCATGATGTTGAGACAGGCACAGATACATCAGATCAAAGGCTCATGTACTAATCAAGCAAAACAATAAATGCTACTTCTTTCTTTCAAAATCCTTCTATCTGTATTGCTTTCCAGGGCACCACTAGCAAAGTGGCAGAGAAGACGAATAAGCCCTAGCAATAATGAACCCCCAAAGCTGAAAGTTCACTCCTTCATTTCCAAGGCAGAACCTGCACTGCAAAATAGTTCATGGCTACTGCTGAGACTTTGCTAGACTTGAGCAAGCACTGCTTTCTCTGGTGAGCCTTAGACAGGAGATCCACGAAGATATAATGCTAGTTTAGGTAGCAGCTTAAACTTTTTTCATGGTGGATGAATATAGAAAAAAAAGTCTATGAGGTGAGAGGCTGAGAAAAATCTCTGAACATAAATTTTGCTAAACTCCTTTGAGATGAAAGCTCTAGCTTCGCTTCTTTCACACCCAGGACTGAAGGATCTTCAGAGCACAGATGTTTCAAAATCTAGTATCTTACAAAATCTGGTACCTTAACTCTGCCAAGATAATAGAAATGAAGATGTCCTTTAGGTTCAATGTTATAAATATTTTCTTTCTATTTTCTAACATATTAAACAACTGACTGTACGTGCTGAAATAAGGCATGGGGATTGTAAAGGAATAGAGAAGAGAGCAGTGTCTAAAGATAAGATTATTCTTCAATATTTTTCTCTTCAAACATCTAGGAACATTTAGTAATTAGTAGGGAAGGGACATAAGAGTAGACAATAAGGAAGACACAGATTATTTTTTCCTTTGAGGCACCACTAGGATGATTTTTGTGATGGCATACATCACCAATTAAAATGTACCTTATTGTATCCTCTTTCAGGCTTACTCAGGTTTAAGGCAATGGCATTATCCTCCACTGACTCCTGAAAAATGTAGTCCTTATTTGAATACAGACCACCATTTTTTTAACCAGCAACTATTTCCTTCCCATAGAAAGCTTTCTGCAAATTTTGCAATTTTGGAATTTTCCAAGAATTTCTGTATCAAAATTACAGACTAAACTTCCACTACCTGTGACTGCTGTCTAAATAGCTGACAACAGGAGCTATTCCTACTTTTTGGTCCATGGTCCATCTCCTCCCTATTTGATTTTGATACTGATGTCTCAGTGAAGAAAACAACATAGCATAACATAGCCTGATTTTTAGACTTTAGAATAATGGCCTGTGTTACCAGAAGGGAGCCAGAGCTCACTGACATAGCAGCAGAAAGCCAGGCCCTTGGCTGAATTCTGACTAGGAATACACGTCCATGGTGGGGTTCAAGCAGATGGATCGTGTGGTGATGGTTGACCTGCAAAAACGCCCCAGCCACCCACTAACTCCTGGGACAGATGAACAGAGGTACATTAACTGAGGGCTGAGTGAGATCCAGCCTGCAGCTAGGCACGTCCATGTGGTGCCAGCACTGCCACCCACATATCCTGGCTCAGCCTCTGCTTCCACGGGCACACCTGTGTTTGGGGACTGCACGGATCAGAGGATGTGAGGATCAGAGGCAGCTGGGCTGGAAGGCTCTCATGTGGGCATGCACGTGTCCAGCCTGTTTCCAACAGGTTCCCACAGCCTGGGGACTGCTAGGAGCCATCATATGTGCTGCAGAAGGGGTGAGAAGCAGTGGCTGTGGGGGAAGCCCCCTATTAGCCAAAATATGCATTTGGCTTCAGAGCCAAAAAGCTAGGCCAGTGCCAACCAATGCACTGTATCATCCTATCAAGGGTTTTCCTGGAAATCCTCCTCAGACTCCCAGACATATTTAGTAGATGTCATTGGTATAGACTGACAGTAGGCAGGTTGCTAAAAATTGAACATTACATAAAGTTCCAGCCATTCCAAAAGTAGGATGACATTTCTAAAATTAAGAGCAAATACTGTGTGAAACATAGCCAAAGAATTTAAGAGCTACTTAACCTGCTTTTGGCAGGTGCTAGAGTATGGATGTACAGTGAGGACAAACCCTTAATACCTGGAAATGGTTCCTAAAGCCAATGTTTGTCTTTTACTTAGTTTAATTGATAGCTAATGACAGACACATGATGGTGGATAACCACTGCCTGCCTTAACCTAAGTCAAAGCTTCGAAGGGCTCTTCCTGGTGTGTTTGGCTCACTTGAAGAGGGCTATCAACAGCAATTCATCACCTCTGAAGTGGAGCTGAGAGGCAGCAGAGAGTTTTCTCAGAACCTCAGCTTCTGGGGAGGGATGGCAAAAGTTGGCTCTGCAGGAGTAGCCCTGATCTCTGCAGCAGTAGTCAGGAGGAATTTCAGGGGCCAAAGTCCCACATTCATTTATAGAGGTAGAGGCATCTCTCAATAATCAGATCATAACACACTATAGTAACCCTGTGTTTGCATTTGTTTAAAAAATGTCTCCTGTTACATGCTTCTGTTAAAATGAGGGAAAGGGGAAAAACCTATTTTTTTCTTTAGTATTCTTTATTGCCACAGTCTCCATGGTGAGCATTTTTGCGTGGGAATCATTGTCTCTGTATAATTTTGTTATTAATATTGTTGCTGTTACTGTTTATTTTCTCATCTCATTGCTGTTTCCAGTAAATCGTTCTTACCTCAAGGAGTTATCTTCAACTTTTGTGCCTCCAATTCTCCATTCCAACCCACCACAGTGGGAAGTGGGAGGGGAAGTGGGATCGAGAGAGCAGTTGTTTGAGAGAGTCTTGGTGGGGATAGTGATTTGGGGAGTACCATTCCTAAACTATGGCACTGAACAAACCCTCTCCCAAACTGTGCTCAAGATAGTACTGCTCCCCATGCACAAACTGGTCCCAATACTTTATTTCCCTTAATCATGAGACTGAACTCTTCTTGTTACTTGAGCCTCTCAGGCAGATATCATGCCCTCTTGTCAGGAGAAAAAACTTGAAGGTTCATTTTACACCCCAAATGTAGCAGAAGGCTTCTGTTGAGCTGTCCTGTTTATTTGAGTGATTTGTCCACCTTCCCACACTAAATAATGCTGCTCTATAGTGTAAGTTGTGGGCTGTGTAGTGTTAGACAAAAAGTTATTTTTGTGGGAAAACCCACAGGTATGCATCATGCCCTCTGGCCACCTCTGTTAACTCCTGTACTGTTTTTTCTCCTGATCTCTTGGAAGCAGATGATTGGGAAAACAGTTTTAGCCTGAAACTTTCTGACCATGACAGCTTTCAGTGATGCACGGAGCTTTCTGTGATACCACAAATTTTCTTTCTGTGGTGGCTCCAGCAAGAACCTCTGCCAACCTTCCCACTTTCACCAGTAGTTTCCAATGCCATGTTCCCACTCGTGCTGCTACATTTTTGGGGGGGAAGCACACGCTGAACCAAGCAGGGGAGCAAGCTGGGTTATATTATTAATTTTTAAAGAGTATTTTGAGGTGGCTCAGCTGTCTCAGTACAGACCCAGGCAGAGCTGTACTCAGCTGAGCCAGCTCTGCCCTGGTTGTGGTAGCAGAAGTGGGCGTCTGGGGGCTCACATAGGAGGGGAGATGGAGTGGGTTTTGCTGACTGAGGTGTAGCCATGGGGAGAATTATCCATGGAAACATGTACCACACCTAAAAGATCAGCTAGATTTGCCACCTATGAATGCTGTTTTGTGAAGGGAGATGAATCTGACATTGAGCAGAGGAATGGCTTTAAGAGACTGGAAAAAGTCAAATTAATTGCTTCAGGAAAAATTCCTCAAAGCTTTCTTTTCTTTTTGAAATTAAGATTCACCAAATTGGAGGTGTGGCACTTGGTAATATGGTTTAGGGGTGATTACAGTGATGTTAGGGTGATGGTTGCACTAGCTGATTTTGGAGATCCCTTCCAGCCTTGATGATTCTGTGATTCTGTGTAAGCTTGCACAAGTAAGATACACAAGCTTTCAGGCAGCACTCCCTAGTAGTACATCTTGGTGCAAGAGGAAGGTGTGAGGCTTACCTGAGCCTGCATTCTGTGCTTGCTTAACCCAGACATCCTTTCACACGTTGGTGAGGGAGATTGTGATGTAGAGTACAGCTTCATCTAGAGCACACCCCTGGAGAAATTAGCCTTGGCAGTCCATTGAACCTTCAGGCTTATCTCCCTGAGAGACTGAGCTGACAAATGACACAATCACACCTTGGCTGCATTTCTTTAGTGACCATTAACCCATCCCTTTTTTTTAATGTGACAAGTGGAAAGTGATTGATCTGTCGATTGTGGTGATTGCTGGGAGTGCTCAGGGCTGCATTCCGGGTACAGAAAGCAGGGAAACTGAGGCAGTTAGAGTATGACAGGTTACTGTAGCCTAGGTTACATCTACCACCTTAAGAGGCAGTATCTCTAGGCCCAAAATAAGACAGATGTAGCCTGACAGGTTAGACACGGGACAAGGTAACCTCCTGCTAGTTTTTTCATTTGTCTGGGTGAAGTTGCTCTGTCATAATTTACAAATGTCATATGTGACCTGCTCTCTCAGGTCTTCTACACTCTGGATCCCCATCATGTGCCTGTAGCTATTAACTTCAGTTCTGAAGTGCTGAAGAGCTGTAATAGGCATTTCTGTGACACATGCCAGTGTCTGAAAGCCTGGGCCCCAAAGTTGTTTATTTATAGGCTACTAGACATGCTTGGCTCCTGTTTCCAAAGCAGGCACTCCTCCATCAC